CACCGCGACTAAAGCTTCGAGGCCGGTCCTAGGCCAGTCACAGATTTGTTTCAAATGTCGTTTTTGCAATTCATCGAACGATTTCTTAATAGTGTGCGAGAGCGATTCGATGATATCATGTCCAGGCCTTTCGGACGCTCGTTAAGTAACTCTCTATCCGGTTCAAATCGAAGCTGTTTGATGACCATATGTGCTTATCCCAGAACCCGCTTGTATTTTCAACCACCAATCGGCTTGTATGAACTGCTGCACTATCGGGCAGATGTCCATGGTTGTACAACAGTTTGTAGAATATGTAGATGAATTATTTAGCGATTGGTTCATTTTTCTGGAACAAGCTCTTTTTTTAACTGGCCGCCGCATTGAGAAGGTAAACTTTGGCCGAAAATTTGCTTCTACCCACAACAAGCACCTCGTCAGGTGCTCATCTTTTCATCGACGATGAATATCTCTCGTCTGAAGAAAATCAAAGATGACTTACTGTTTCATCAAATTTCCTAGTTGTATGGTCCCTATATACATATATATATATATATACAGACTTTATAATATAAAATGCGCACCTAAAGTCTTCGTAAACGATCTGCGACATCGTACGCTCATTCACAGCAAATGTCTTTACTAACCCTCTGATCAGACCACAAAAATCACTAAAAATGCACCATCACACGGCCAGGATTAACTTTCAAGTCCGCACTGTTCTTTTTTTGTCGCTTTTCTGCCATATTGGACTGGAACCTGCTTCTGCTTTTTTCGCTGTTGCATACGGTTCATTTGCGGTTCTTTGATGTAACCCAAAACACTTAAAATCTTGTTAGCGCGTACACATTGAATGAGCTGCTGATCTTTGCTTACATTTCGTATTACTATTGCCCGTTGTAACGAGTTTGTAGCTTTGTGTCAGAAAGGACTGGCTTTCGCAGCAGGAACAGCAAATAAGCGCACCTCCGCAACGATAAACAGTCCGCCAAAGGTCGCCCCAATTCAGGTGCCGTGCCCCTGTAAATCTGGACCAATGTTTCGTACCGACAAAGGCAGAATCTCACTGGGAAACACAATCTATAAATAAAGTGACTAGATTGATAGGATGTTTCAATATGGTTCTTTCTATTGAGAGCGGAAAAGGGGGAGAGAAAAGGCAATTAACAGAAAAAGATAGTGAGAATAAAGCAATTAATGCAAGTTCCGTCACAAAACAATGTTCTTTGCCAACGGAAGCCGTCTAATTGTAAGGTTATCAATGCTGTCTTTTTAGTTGCCCCTAGTAGTAGCCGTCGTTCTGGACAACGAACAGGAGGTAACGCTGGGGCATGAACCAGGTCCTGACGGAGCGATGAAAGAGCGATGTAGCGAGAGCCGCGGGATCGCTATACACATAATTTAACAAAAAGGCAATCTTGCGAGCAACCGTCCAAGAGAATTTCCAAAGAGCTCTGCTACAGTAGACAATAGCGATAGAGCAAGCACAGAATAGGGAGGTCGCTGCTATGACGAGTACGCGGATATGCCTAAGGCAAGGAATAAGTTACCACGGCTTGTACCTGAAGCGGCCTACGCATGTAGCCATCGGCTGACGAGGGATGCTGAGAACAGTGTCTACTTTAGCCACTGTTTCGTCTTAGGAGCCATCTGATCCTGCTTCGCTTTGTTAAGGGGGCGAGCTTTAATGTCTGACGGTGGCAGCAAGCGGTAAACTGTTGGTATACTGCTAGCTTTACCAAGGCAAAATACTTTGTTGTTATCTAGCTAGTCAATGAGCTGGTGCACTGTTCCTGAAGCCAATATATAACTTAGAACTGGAAAGACTTTTACTATCAGGCAAGACTTGTAGCGATTTAAAAATTGAAATTAACTGTGGTGTACGAATTCGTTGACTGTTCAAATCGTCAACGGAATTGGGATCCCCAGGGTAGTTTGGCCAACACAGGCTTCAAGACATCAATTGGAAATTGAGGCCGGGTGTCGGATCTTGTTAAGATGGAACACATCATGGAATACAAATTAATGGTACTTACATATCGCACGACTGATTCAAACCAATTGGACTAGTCAAATGTCACTTCGATGGTCACAAAGATAGCTACCACGCATTCATTAAAAGCACAGCTACTAGCGGCGTAAGCCGCTTAGCATACTTATTGGACGAAGGTCGGTCCAATGCCATTCTGTTGCAGGAGACACATCCTGACAGTGGCCTCCGTTAAGGATGGCCGCCAGGCCAATGGTTCGCTACCTTTGATGCGACTCCTAAGGAAAAAGCTTCGATATTTCCCAACAGAACAGGGACAAACAGTGCAAGCTTCTCTGTGTTACGGTTGCAATCATCAAAGTGCTGATGGATGTTACTCCCTGGCGAAGGCTTGTCATATGCGTTAGACATAAGTAGCTATTGGGTGCTGTCCTTGAAACAGGACCGGATATCAGCTCCCGCTTATTCCTGCGATTCTGCTGCCACCGCTGTAATGTCCTACGTAGAATGGTCCTAGAAAAGACGGCTCGTTTATCCTTACTCATTGTTTTCTCCTTCGACCTTTGTCCTTAGATAGTCCTGAGGAAAGTTATGGCAGTGAAGTGCTCATGAAGAAGCCAAGGCATCCTCGTCACACAGCCAGTTGCAGGTGTTTCGGGCCTGCAATGAACATCCTGGAATCCAAATGTCTTTAGTTTATTTAAAGTCATTCATTTTTGCTTCATCTTGTATTTGCTTTTAGGACTCGCTCGAATGTGTTGAATGTGTGGCTCATTGATAGAACCCCAGATATATTGAAGTACGTTATGTTTTTGAGGCAAGTTCCATGCGGCGGGTCACATCCAAGGCGCTGTTGCTATTAGGAGCTTCGACCAACCCTGGCGTAATAACTGTGCAGCTTTTTAAGGATTATCTCGTATGTTGTTATTGCTTTACCACGCTAATCTAAAGAACTCAACATTATAACATAATGCGACGGCGAGGCTTTTTAACGTCTGTAGTCTCAGGCTTATTTTGTCCTAAAAGGCCAGAATAACCAGCACCAAAAAATAATTTGCCTTTTGGTAAAGCGGTAGCAATCCAGCTGGAAGAGAAATGCACTATTTTCCCAGCACACCGTCCTACCTATTAGTTACATGAGCTACGTATCTGTTATATACGACGTACACAAGGATATTTCGTTTACGTGCATATTAATCATTCACCGTTATTTGTACCTATTGCTGAAGACTACAAATACAGACCTGAGTGCACTTTAAAACGGTTTTATTCTACAACAATGATCTTATGTCATTTGCATTGGGAACAACAAAAGCGGACTATGGGTAGGAGGAATGGTTTCCCGTCATTGTTGGCGCTTACTACATCTTACTTTCAAAAGAGAGTGGATTGCTCCGACGTATACAAACGGCTTCGGAAAGAAACACGGTGCTATAGCGGCCCTACAAGTAATGTGGGCCTAAAGCTTCCGCCGTTATTGTAAGAAGTGCGTTAGGGCTATCCTGCAGGCATATCATTTTTCTAGTTTACGAGCAGTCACCAACGTTCTAACAATCAGGGGGATCGTCTACAATGCTGTTGCTAAGCGCATTCACCTACCATACTGAAGCCTACATCACCTATATACTAAATACCACTCAATGATTTCTGAGGATCTACTTCCCGTAAGTTGAATAGTACCGATGCATAGGCAACTTATGTTGACAACTTCTCGTAAATGCTTTCGTAGTCATCACCGCCGCTGCCGCCACCGACAGCAATAAGGGCAGCGAGCACGACAACAAGCGGAACGAGCCGACTGACTCGACTTCAGAATAGAAAAGAATTCGAACGCATCTGTGGGACGCTTAATGGGACGAAACAGAGTGGAGCACATTAACTCGTGATAACAGCGGTCTAAAAGAGCATCCGAGCAGTAGAGTCGCTTGCCTAGTTGGCTGCATTAGCAGCTCAGCGGGATGTAAGTGGACAGAGAAGAAAGAATACGACACGATGATAGAAGGGAAGGGCAAATAGCTGTGGGAGTCCACGGGCGGCGGAATGGGTTAGTACTGCAGTGTAGGCTGCAACCAACACTTGACGCAGGCCAAATTTGCCTGCTTACAGAGGCAGACCTGTTTGGCTAGACAGACCTGAGAGTGGTTTATGGCCCGGGCTAGGACCGTGAGTTTCCGTCTACGTCGTGGCAAGCCGCTTAGGCTAGCCACACCTTTATGGGGTGCGTCATTTTCACTGGCAGTCGAACGGCGCGGGGTTGTATCCGTTGCGTAAGGTTGCACGCTAGGCGAGCAAACTTCTATACTTTTTCTAAGAGAAAAGATTACCGTGTTTAGTTTCTTTCGGCTCTACAAGTATTGAATGGACGATAGGGCACGACGCAGGGCTGTTTAGGATCGTGTTCGACTCGATAAAGTACATCTGAAAGGTGGAGTTTTGACCTTCTTCTCTGCATACACTGGTGTGCACGTTAACAATATATATTGTTATTAGTTCGTTCTTACTAATCCCGCGTCATGTAAGCACCTAATGATTATGATACGTAATGCTCTCCTGCAAGGTTTTGTTTAAAAGAAAAGGACTGCCAAGTTAAATTTACTAAACAAAGGCATATGTCTTATATAATTATTATAATATATATATATTATATAATTATTATTATATAGCAGGGAACGGAGCAGCTAGTTGCTGTCTGTCTTTACTAAATATGTCCGGCATTTTCCTATATGTCATATACTCCAGATATTTCTAGATAACACAAGTTCCTTCGATTCGTTGCCATGACTATCGTTGCATTTACGTATACATACCTACATGTGTAATGTTGGTATCGATGGTTCTCGTGGCAACAGGATAAGCACGTGTCTTGCATAGAACCAATGAGTTATATAAAGTATATAACGAGCTTCACTAGCCATTACTGCTGTACTGATACTGCTATAGGCAAATGGGTAATTTTTTGCTACCTGTTCCTGCAACCTGCTTATACTGTTAATTGGCTATGTATGTTGTTTTGACTTTCCATATATTTCAGTCAAACGCTCCGGTTAGTGTGGGAGGTGTGGTGTCAGTGGACCCGCTGGTCGACGCCGATATGGTGTGTGCTACGGGCAGCTTGGTGGCCGGGCTTGGGGCCGCGCTGGGACCCTCGGGTTCATGTAAGGAGACGTCGGCGCGGGACATGCTGCGCGTCGGCCAGGCGCTGCACGTCTCCGTCGAGAAGTTCCTCGCACTGGGTGAGGGCATCGCGCGAGACAGTCCTGAAGCGAAACTGCAGATGTTCGAGGCGTGTAAGGACGCACGTCTCGCTTCAAATGTCGTCGAGCAGATCTGCGACCTACGACCAGGTATCGACGACGTCCACGAACCTTGCAGGTATGTACTACATACTGAGTCGTTTACGTTGGTACCCATGTTGTACTTGTTAATGTTACATTTATTAGGCAGTTCGTTTTAGATTAATAGCACATAGTTAGGCAAGACGACCGTGTTAATATTCACATGAGAATCAATACCGGTATGTAATTTACATACAACGTTTCGTGTCTTATGTAAATAACCTAGGGTGGGTTGGCACAATACTCGCACCTGTGGCTGTCTTTGAGAGCAAATCCCTCATAGACCTATACTAATAGAATTATATGAAAATTATACAATATCTGGAGATGATCCCTTTGGCAGCTGTAGAAGGACGTAGTTGAAAATATGTATATATATATATATGTATATATAAAGTGTAGATCTAGCTTACAATTAACCGTTTGAAGGCTACATACGCATACAGCGTATATTTAAGTCATATCTAATTAGGAATACACATATACGGCCTATCAGTGACAAGGTTATTTAAAGTTGTCCTTGCGACTTTCCAGTGTAAATATCGTTACATTAGTACACATAATCCCTCCAACTGGTCTCCATGCAAACGCGCCATTCACCTACTCTAATAACGCTAGCTGGATTTAAAAGCCAATTAAAATATACATATCCTTATCATAGTTTAGAAAGGAGTAGCGTTTCATTGTCTATTTAGCAATATAATTAAGGCCAACTTTATGGTCATATTGAACCCGAAATTAAGGTCGTCGTTGGCAACACCTTGACTAGACGAGCGTATCAGATGCGGTGCCCGTCGAGGCGTCACGGTATACTGCTACACCGCTCAACCGATGCGATACATATGGGCGTGTCGCTGAATCACGACAATGTACTGGGCATCTAAGCCTGCCGCTATCTACGTTTTGCTGTCTCTACGACTATGTCTTTGTCAACGTGTCGCTAGAGCATCCCGCAGCCGCTAAGCTCTGTTGGCCGTCACGCCTACAGCATTGACTTGCACATAACCACATCAGCCCACACGTGAACGTATTTGTAGGCAAACCCTATCTTCATCTGGCAAGGTCTGCGACGACGCCAGTGTCAGCAGAGCTTGCCATGGCCATTCAAATATATTCAGGTATCGTACTGTAGGCGAGCAGGTGAGAGAAGTAAATGCTTGGAGAGCACACCACCGCAAAGAAGTAAACGGAGAGCAGACAATAGAAGCCTAAGCTTGACGACAATGGCGGCATCTCCTGCGCGATTGGCAGGGGTAGTTCAGATTACAGTATATGGTCAAATGGGGGCGGTGGACTTGGGTCAAGGGAGAACTTAGTAGACTCTCTACTAAAAGGCTCCTCTTAGGGCAATAGCCCTCTGCAAGTATCTGGATCCTCTCCAGTAAAATTTTTCTAGAATTCACTTTCCTATATTGTAGTGGAAACCAAAAAGAGAGCTGCAGTGGTACGTAGAGCCGACTGGATCACATTGGAGACAAGGTAGCGGCAATGGTTGCCAAATAGAGTATATAAAAGCATATATATATATATATATGCTTTTATATACTACCTACTTTTATAAAGACAGTTGACGTGCGGAGAAAGTAAATATCAGCTTTTTTCCGAACTAGTTAAGTGAAAAGGGGGAGTGGCTTTATTAAAAGACCTTGTTTGTTCATAATATGTAACCAAACTCTCGGCTAGATTTTTCTTAGCTTGGCCGAGTTTCCTGTGCCTGTTGAGTATATCGTTGGACGTTGCGAGGCTATATTTTGACTATATAAAATGTACTACTCTAAAAAAAAAAGTTACAAATGCTCGTTAATCGTCTCAGGATTTCTCAGTAATTCAACTGTTTTTTTTTTTTCTCTAATTTAAATATCTTTTCGTTGTTCTACGAGCGTTTTAAGAACCCACGAATTTTCTCCTACCGGCGTCAGAATTTTGTCTTACATTAGTCACTTGTGTTTTCTGAGTCAAAGTTAATCAGACGGGGTTTAACATTGTATAATCATAGGCTTCTATTAGTGGCTATTGCCAACCTTGGTAGCCTTATGCTAACAATTTTTGGCTTCTAAACAGAATTGATATGTATATTTTACCCGTTTAAGTTGTCAGCAAATGAAAAAACTTACCTGTTAGGGACGATTAGAAACAAGTATGCACTTTCAGTGTTATATTTAGTTAGACCAGTAGTCTAGGAATGTGTTTGTTAAATACCTTCAATGCATAGTTTCTGTGGCAGATATTGGTGCCGGTAACATGTCGGAGTTCAAAAGAATCCCCTTTTAAAGCTGCTATTCAGTTGGATGCCCTAATGAAATTTCTCTGACACACAGTGACGACATCGAAAAATGTTTACAAAATTTTGCTGTATTTTATATTTAGCTATGCCGTTCTACACGTATCCTCCGATGAAACGGCAATGAAAAAGAGGGAAGGTAAGATAAGAAGCAATCATCAAAGGCACCAGCTAACCATTTTCCTCGACCAGTTTAAGTGGCAGTGATTTTTGCCACACAGTTATTAACGGCTCTAAATACATACACGTATATTCTAAATAGCAGTAGTAACAGCTGTAAAGCGGCCGCATCCACAGTTGCCAGCTTGCCTTCAGGTGTTTAAGCCTATTCATACGATACTGTTTTGGTTTCCTATACGCACTATGCTAATGATTTGTTGATGCTCACAAGCGCGGTTTGTCCTTCGTGTCACACAAATTTTATCGATTCTATTTGTGTGTACACCTGGCGAGACAGGGTGTGGATTGTCAAACATTAGCAAATCCATTCAGTAACGTTATCAGGCACCCCTTATATCTCAATGTACAGAATGGTGCCGATGTCTGATCATCCTAGTGTCAGCCACATTGTCCGAATAAGTATCAGCAGCAGCCTCCGCCACTGTTATCCAGTAAAATGCTTATGGTCTATAAAAGAACTCACCAGAGCGTAGGCACAGATCTGGTGTATGTGTGGTAGTCAGATTGTTAGTAGTAAACGTAATTTTCTCGTCGTAACCATCGTTTCTTATTAGAAATCGTCACCACTACAATCTGTACGCGAATTGTCGTCAGTGGATGACAATTAGTGGTTAGTAATACTAACAATGATATGTTTTTGGCGAGCCAGTTTTAACCGCCGGACACCAACCGAAATAGACTGTAGTAGCCCTTTGCAGTATATCTCTGTTTGCCTATCCGGTGTGTGCAAGCTCTTCAAGGTGACACAATGATAAAGTCGAAAGATGGCCTTGTCCTGGCTCCACCACGACAAATTCCTCAGGCCTCAATCAATTCCCCGAACCGAATCTGGCTCCGATAAAGAATAAGTTGGTAATTGCGTCACTTTATCTTGGCAGAAAACGGAAACCCCCAATCTGTTCTGATGCCCCTGTCAAGCCCAGTAGTCGAAGAACTCAATTTGCAACGGCGCTCGTGTGCGAAACTCGATTAAGTTATTCGAGCCTCACATTATTTCGCTAAAGTTTGCAGTCCCTCTTTTGTGCCTCGTTCCATCCAGAACTAGGCCTGCGCAGGCTGTTGGTCGGCTACGTAATCTCGCGAAGAAAAAATACAGAGCGGGGCTGGCAGATGACAGCAACGACAATGAACGTCGGACTAGATGAAGTTAACGAGAGTATTAACGATAGCGATAGAGGGTACTGTCTAATTATGTGTAGGTTGTTGTTAGTGTCCTTGTACCAAAGGCGCAAAGATGCGAAAGAAGTTTACTGAGCCTCTGCGGAGAGCTACAGCCGTTCAGTTTCGTCAGTGTTGTGAGTTACGCCGATTCAATCCGGTTTCTTCAGCGGTTTCTCTAGTGATCCCGTTTCAATCCACAGTCTATTGATCGAACGCCATGTTGAAACCGTGATTGCGCGTCAAATGAAGCTTTTCAAGCCTGTTACGAGCTTATTTTAGGCAAGAATATGCACGTATAGTTGGCCTATCGGGCTGCCGCGTCTCTCTGTGTTTGTGGCATACACCAGCTTGTGTATTGGGAATGTGCAGGGCATTTTAGAACCAATCCTTGCTCCACTGCTTTCTGTGGATGCATGAACAGATGGTCAAGAAAACTTTTACGCTGTGGATTCCCAGTACATCCAACAGTATGGAAGGGACGAAACAGAAGAACTAATCACTCAAGCTTCAGAAGACTAATGTAGCGAACGAATCAGACGGTGTAGGACTGTACTATTTGGTTCTGGCCAGGGGGGCCAATGTTTCGAATATCCCGGTTTCTCAACCTTAGCAAAAGAGATAAAAACTGCTAGCAATTAAGCGAAAAAAAAAACAGGGAACGGGCAAGGTTGGGATCACAGAAAGAGAGAAAATGTACCAGTTAAAAAGCATAGATAGTCGCTATGACTGTCGATAATATATTTTGAGATACTTCTCGAAACGGTGAACGGAGAGCTAAGTCGGATTTTTTATTTTGCGGTTCGCTACATCGTTCCAAGCTTTAAGACCAAAGATGGAACCGATGGCCAAAAGGTGAAGCTACCACTAAAACTATCACCTCGTAGTACATACAATGACATGGCCAGTCGTCCACACACAAACTTCTAATGCTTTCTGTTTGGAGGCCGTACTTTTGATACGATGCTTGCCGTCGGGAGTCGTGTCATCACTTTTTGAATCTGCATACACACTTTGTACGCCGATAGAGATATACTGGTCGTAACCATACGTTCCGAGACTAGAAGAAAAAACGCAAGGCGATAGCGGAAGTTTTTTTTTTCATACTCCTGTTATCGTTGTTACCATCTTGAATCGGTCCTTCATTACCGCACGCTTCACTATCATGGTTCATTTTAGCTTCGTCCCCTTTTTCCTGCTTTTCCTGTCGACATGCTTGTTAAAATAACAGCAGTATCAGCAACTTAGCCGGGTCCGTTTGTAGTTCAGTTGACAGGGTAGAACCTCTCGAGCAGACGAGCAAATGTTTAGAGCGTCGTTGAGTTGCAGTTGTGATGGTTTTACGTCGTCTTCTATGGGTATTTTACTGTGCGCCCTACACCCATTGAGCTCATGTCCACGCTCTTATTTTCTACTTG